TTAAAAGGAAAGTTTTTTTTTCAGACAAAGAAACATATAACCTTTGTGGTACGAATATGTTGTACTACTCACACCGAAATCTTAGTCATTATAACTTTTTTTTTCTGGATTTTTTTTTCATTTTGAAAACGCGTTTTTCATAACGTCCAGAAATGATTAAACCTTCTTTTTAATTTGATAAAAGAACTATCTTCAAGAAAAAAGGCGTGTGCTGTTTTTTTAGGCAGGGAAAATTGAACATAATGTGGTAGTCATTTTTTCATTTGCCTTAATTCTAATTCATTTTCGAGATGCAAAAACTAATTGCCCGCAGCAGTTTTTACCACCATTTCAAGAAAATTAATTTGAAGTATATTGACTTTTGATTGATTTTGCGAGTGTGAGATTCGGAATATAGTTTTTAAGTAATAGAGTTTTTCAGCTATGAGTGGAAAAAAGTAGATAGTTCGCCTTTCTTTTGCTTTTCCGCTCAAAATGATTTCAAAAAAGTGAAAAACATTTACAATTTAGCCTTAATCTGGGCTCTATTTGAGTTCCACCACTTTGAGGTTTTCTGAAATTCACTTGATTAAAATCTATTTAAAATGACTTTTTCATGTTATAAACTGCAATAAAACATATCAGCTTGAACCGTTGAACAAATTTTTAAAACATTCCCTACCTGCAAAATGCCGTGTGAACAACTTTTGCACGGTTTCTTTTTTTTAATTTACGAGGGGGATGGGAAACTGGAAAAGGGCCATGAAATGAAACTATAAGGCAAAGAAAAAAACTTACAGTAAATTTCAGCAATGAACACTTTTTAGTTAATTGAAAGTAGATAGAAGCACTTTTTATGACCAGAATAGTTATCACGGTTCTTTTTTCGTTTGTTTGGCAATCGAGACAGTTAACTGGTCAAAGGGGAGGTCAAGTCAAAGGGGAGGTCAAATTGATGGGAGGAAAAAGAGGGAGCCCAATTTATGAGCTGTCCATTCTCCCGACATGAGGTCAAATTGTATTCCACTGCAAAAAAGTTTTCGTTGAAACCTAGAAATTTGAAAAAAGTGGATTTTTTCTACTGAAAGATCATAAACTTCGTGACACACGACACAAAAAGTAAGACAAAAAAATAAAACATTAAAAAAAAATTTTGGCGTTGTTTATCAGGAAATCGATTATCGTATGAATCATTCAATTTTTTCCCAGCATCCTTAATTATCTCAAACTCATGCTCATTCAAAATAACTGTATAAGTAATTAATTGCATAAAAAACATCTTGTCAATATTTCTATTTCTTTAGGAGATACGTGTGTGGTACTTGTTAGTTTGTTAATCTGTATAAATTATCTTTTATGAAGACATGAAAAGTTGACATGTTTTTTCCATTTCCCCCTCGCCCTGGAAGCTGATATCTTTTGTCTAGAACTGCTACCCGTACCAAAAAAAATCATTAATTCTGAGCTGAAATACTTTTGTTTAAATAAAGCAGGGATTTTCTTAAAATTTTTCATTTCTCATTTTATTTTTGATCAGAATATAGCTACATCTAGGCTATTTCTATCTAGAAAAAACCAGCGACATTCAAATTGCGAGGCGGTTGTGCTAACCAGTAGGACAAGTGCTTATTGTAGCTTAATGGTTTTAGCAGTCAAAAACAATGTAACAATTGTTATAGCAAGTGTTATTTTGCATTGTATTACTACTGTTATTGTGTATACTCGAAGCAGGTTTATCTCTTTTAAACTGGAAAAGAAATAGATTATTTCTGCACAGAAAATACGAGAGAACGTGGCTAAATAATCTTAATAAAATTTCTACCGAGAAACACAGCCTCCGTACGGGTATGAAGATGCGCTGTTTTAAGCAGATCAACAATATGCAGAAAAAAGCACAAAATGTTATATACTTAATCATAAGAAAAATGATTTTTTTCTTTACTTGACATTAAAGTCAGTTTAATGCGAGGTGTGATTTGAGAACAATACAAACGCATTAAGATATGGTGACTTAAACATAGTCAACAACATTTATAAAAAAAATTTACAATCAAAAATAGGAAAAAAAATTTAAATAAAATAAATTAATTTAACAATTTATTTTTGCAGATACTGATCTGCATTTCCAACTTTTTGTTCCAAAAATGGCGCTAAATAATATTAATGAAAAAATCTCAAAATTTTTGTGGCTCATAGTTTCATGACAAGCCTGCTCGCTGGCTCTACTTGATCGAAGATAGACTACAACTCAAAATTTTCAAACGTTTTTTTTTTCGACACTTGGACAACTTTTTGAAATTTTTTAGTATCGTTCGAATCAGACTTGAACGATGATTATTTGTGGTAAATGATTTTGGCCAAAAAACAAAATAAGCCTGCGCGCTCACCCTATTTGCTCGACTTGAGAACAAACATTAAAAATTCGATACTTCGAAAAAAAAAATCAAAACATTTTAATGGCGTTCGCCTCACGGCAAAAAAAAACTTTTTTAAAAAAGAAATACCATTTGACCAATACCGACGATTAGCTGTAATACCTGTTTTTGCGCGGAAAACAAAAAACTAAAACATACCCGAATACAAAGTTCCTCCTCATTTTCAAGGGTCGGAATAATGAGCAGGCGAAGACAATGATATAAAAAGATGTATCAACTAACTTTTTACGCCTTGTCGCAACGGGTTTTGTCTTTGTGACTAATGAATTTGGCTGCAACACGCCCTTGAAGGTTTGAACTGGTCTGACAGAGCACTGTTTAAATCGTTTAAAAAATTGATAAATTTTCTGCACTGCCTTATCTCGATCTGACTTTTCTGGTTTTGTGGTCTAGTGAATTGCAATACTAGTTGGTGGTGTACAAATTCTCTCAATTGAATTGAAGAGAAGAACAAAAAAACGAACTTGTTTTTAATCATAATTTTTCAAATGACGTAAAAAAATGGAAAAATGATTTTTGTGAAAGATTATACTGAGCAACCCTAAAGTATATATAATGCAATAAACTGAGCAAAAAAAAGATCTGAATAAAAATAGACTAATTCTACCCTATCTAAGCTTAAGAGACATAGAAACTCAAACTTGCTGACTTGTTCTGGGAGTCGGCGACAGATAAATTTAACCAGAGCCCTTTTTGATAAGAGAAAGTGAAAAATCTCAATGTTTTCAGTGTTATAGTCCAAGTGACTAAAAAGTTTAGAAAAAATCTCCGACCAGAATTTGAACCTGGTTAAAGATATTTACCTTAGACTAGCCTTTTTCGACCAAATATCTTCTTCACTGTCGTGCGCAGGGAACAAAATGCAATCAAGCTTGCTTTGTGCGCTCGCAAAATAAAATGGCACCAAAGCGCTGACCTACAGTCAAACCAGTACCTTAGGGTAAAAACTTCAATTTTTGTCAATTTTTTTGTGCATTTTATCAAAAATTTTATCAGAGAAAGTGAAATTTAATTTCCACTATTAATTTAGGTTATTTAAGTTTTAAACAAAATTTATAGTATCAACATTTCGAGTGATAGAGCATATAATTTGGAGAAAAAGCGCGTGCTAATAGACACTTATGCTTCTCGCTACGCCTCATTAAAACAAATAGTTTGTCTCAATTCAAGTTTGAACAATCTATTGCACCGCTTGTTTTTTGGCCGAGAAGACTTTCGACCGAGAAAAATTGTTTTGACTGAGTTCGATCCAGGGTTTTTTCAACCGAGAAAAAAACTTTTTGACCGTGTTCGGTCGAGGAAAAACGTTTCGTGTGAATTTGGTTCACGAGTTGTTTCGACGAAAAAAAACTTAGATTGGTTTCGTTCGAAATGGGTTTTATACACTAGGAAACATTTACAGTAAACAGTTTGATGTATCTATGTTGGATGTGAGTAAGAACATAAAATTTTCTGTCTGTATTTATGGATTTTAGATTGATGTATATGTTTTTTGTATGTACATTTTTATGTATTTATGTATGTATGTATGTATGTATGTATGTATGTATGTATGTATGTATGTATGTATGTATGTATGTGTGAACGGATATATGTGTTTTTGTATGTATGTATAATTGTATGTGTGTATACATGTATGCATGTATGTATGTATGTATGTATGTATGTATGTATGTATGTATGTATGTATGTATGTATGTATGTATGTAGCTAACTGCACATTAAAAGGACTTATACCCAGGACTGTACTGTAATTTGCATATGTTAACATTTTTGCAAGCGAAAAAAAATCCGACCCAAATTCATTTGTCATCTCAGTTTTGAAATAAGAAGGGTTTTTTGTTTAGTTGTTTTTTATCTGATTCATTTTAAGTTGTTTAATTCGAGAAAGCTTTTTTTAGCTTTCATTTTTTCTGCTAACGATTTGTTGGGTCGTTGCCTTTAAGATTTGTGGGCCTTCTCGTGGCGGTCCTGTATATGACCAACAAATTTGTTGGTCTAGCTAACTGTGCAATAAACACACATTAAACTCTGAGTTTTTTTGCAATAAGCTTCTGATTACATTTTGCAAGCAAAAAATCTGGACAAAATGTTCATTTCTAAAATTATACTTCGACTTCATGTTTCGACTATAACTATGACTACAGGACCCGCGCAAATATGGATTTTTGGTTGAATTTTGACATCTGATTCGACCCACGCAAACTCTGTTTCAAAATAGTTCGATTTTATGTTTTGACTCTGAACGACTATAAGCCCTGCGATACTATGGATTTTTGATCGCAAAATCACATCTGATTTTACCACTTCGGTCGAAAGATAAAGTCAAAACTTGACCCACGACGCTGATTGGCAAAGATGATTGGGCGTTTATTATTCATAAGTTGTCAAATTCTTACATCCCTCTAAAAATTATTCTACAAAAAAAATGATGACAGGAAAAAAATATTTGTCCAAAACGCTGAATTAAAGAAATTAAAAATGGTCAGAATGAAAAACCGCTCCCAGCCTCAATATTCCGTCATTTTCTTTGAAAGACGGAAAATCGACGGCTCACTAAATTAATAGACCTAATTGGTCGCCAACCTGCGATTTCTGCCCAATTCGTAGCCAAGTAGACGCACGATGCAGATTGAATAGTGTACATGAAAACTATGAAATGGGGATGACATTCATCTCCTAGTTTTGTATGGACAAGGGAGAGAGCTTGAGCTACCTTCTGTGCAATAACAACGAAAAGTAACAGAAGTTCGGAAGCGAAAAGAGTCAGATAAAAATAATCAAAGTCTTTGCAGCTTCTGTTTGGTAACTTTTTTGTAAGTTTCAACGAAAGAAATAAAATTCGAACCGTTGAAAGGACTACCGAAATTTGAAAGATAGTTATAAAAATTAGTATCATTCCAACAGAATAATTTAATCAAAATATTTGAAAATAATACAACTAAAAAGCCAAGCTTTTTGCCATTTTCAAAATATATTCGTTAAGCTTTACTGTGTTTTAAGAGTTTTTATCAACCCGAGTTTTTCTATGAAAACAAATAACTTTAGCTTTAGAACCGTTTAATGATCAATTGAAATGAACTTTACGAAGTTTATTTGTTGAATTGAAATTCTGAAATGACAAATCGAGATTAGTCCTTAATTGTTTTTTTCTCTTTTTAATACTTCTTTTTGGTTTACAATTTGACCAATCAGAAAAAAGCTTTTTGTTTGCTTAGTTGCTTGTTGACGACTATGAAACAAAAGTGTCTGATTGTAATTCTAAGGCGTTAAAAGTCCTTCTTTAATTTTTTGCAGAGCAACTATTTCTTAAGTAAAATCCGCTTTCAGCTGAGCACAAAAGATATTTTTATGTCTTAACAACGAAGAAAACAAAAGAATGACAGCAAAAAACATTACTGAATTTATAAAGCTGAATGAAAAACAATCAAACAAAGAAGTTATCAATTAGAAACAAAAAAAGCGCGCTGCCAATATGACTTTTTTTTACAACAGACTTTACTTGTTAAATAGGAGACAGATCATAAAGTAGTCAAAACTTATTCAATTCAAATATATTCGAGAATAAAAACAATCGTTCTCAAGAATATGAAAAACAATTAGACCAGAGTTAAAACAAATTGTTGGACAAAAAATGGAAGATTTATATTGCAAAGAAAATTCCCTATTCTGTATGCGGCTGTCAGTGTTTCTCTTAAGTCATTAGGGCTCTGATGGGCCTGCAAGGGTCGAGGTTCGCGACTGAAGAAAAGAACTTGTAAGTCGCGCCGCATACCGTTTTTAGAATGAATTTCGCAGTCGCGCCGCGTGTTAATGTCGATCCTTCAGTCTTTTTTAGGTCGCGCCGTCAGTCGTTTCTTAAGTCCCGCCGTTAGTCTTTTCTTAAGTCGCGGCGTGATTCTTTCCGTAAATCGCGGCGTCAGTCTTTTTGTAAGTCGCGCGATCATACTTTTCTTAATTGCCGCAGTTAGTCTTTTCCCAAATCGCGGCGTCGTTTTTGCCGTAAGTTGCGCCGTCAATCTTTTCGTAGGTCGCGCAGCTAAAGTCTTTTCTTCAGTCACGCCGTCATTTTTTTCTTAAGTCGCCCCACCAGTCATTTCTTAAGTCGCGCCGCTAGAAAAAATTAGACGGCTCCACAAGAAAAAATTGACGGCGCGACTTAACAAAAAGACTGACTGCGCGACTTACAACAACATTTTAGCGGCGCGATAAGAAAAAACTCACGCGGCGCAAAATAAGAAAAAACTTTGTAAGTCGCGCCGTATATAGTTTTCGCAGAATAGCACTGCGGGTTAAAGTCACACCATCCGTCTGTTTTTAGGTCGCGGCGTTAGTCTTTTTGGAAGTCGCGCGGTCAGTCATTACGTAAGTCGCGCCATGAGTCTTTCCGTAAGTCACGCACTTAAACATTTTTCTTAAGTCGCGCCGTCACTCTTTACTTAATTTACGCGCGCCGCCAGTTTTTCCTTAAGCCGCGCCGGTAAAGAAAATTAGGGGTGCCACGCAAGAAAAAATTGACGGCGCGACTTAAAAAATACTGACGCCTCGACTTCAAAAAATATTTTAGCGGCGGAATTTTAAAAAAAAACGTACGCGGCGCGAAATAAGAAAAGAATTTGTAAGTCGCGCCGTATACCGTTTTTAGACTAAATTTCGCAGCAGCGCTGCGGGTTATGGTTGTGCCATCAGTCTGTTTGTAAGTTGCAGTGTCACTCTTTTCGGAAGTCGCGCCGTCAGTCTTTTCCTTAGTCACTCTGTCATTTTTTCTATAAGTCGCCCCGTGAGTAATTTTGTAAGCCGCGCCACCAACGTCTTTTCTTAAATCGCGCCGTCACTCTTTTCTTAAGTCGCGCCGCCAGTCTTTTCTTATGTCGCACCGCTAAAGAACAAAATTTAGTGGCGCCACTCATAAAAAAGTTGACGGCGCGACTTACAAAAAACGACTGGCGACGCCATTAAAAAAAGACTTAAGCGGCGCAACTGAAAAAAAAACTTTGGCGGCCCGACCTAGAAAAAAGACTTAAGCGACCCGACTTCAGAAAAGACGTTAGCGGAGCGACTTAAGAAAAGACCTAAAGGGCTCTAATTAAGAAAATAATTTAGTGGCACAATTTAAGAAAAGACTTGAGCGTCGCAACATAAAAGAAATTGTCGGCGTGACATACAAAAAAAAGTTTAGCGGCGCCAATTAATAAAAAAGTTTAGCGCCGTGGTCTAGGCAAAATAGACGGCGCGATTTACGAAAAGGCTCTAGTGGCGCGACTTAAGAAATGATTTTAGCGGCGCGACATAAGACAATACTTTAGTGGTGCGGTTTAATAAAAGACAGACGGCGCAAATTATGAAAATACTTTAGCGGCGCGATTTAAGAAAAAAATTTAGCGGCGCAATTAACGAAAAAAATGATGGCGCGACATAAGAAAAGACTTAATAAAAGCAGACGCAGCGATTTATGAAAATACTTTGGCAGCGCGATTTAAGAAAAATTTTTAGCGGCGCAATTAACGAAAAAATTGATGACTCGAAATAAGAAAAGACTTAAAAAAAGACTAAGGCGCGACTTAAAAAAAGACTGACGGCGCGACTAAAAAAAAAGTTTAGTGGCGCGACTTCAGAAAAAACTTTTGAGGCGCGACTTAGGAAAAAAACAGACGGTGCGATTTAATGAAAACAATTTAGCGGCACGACTAGGAAAAGAGCAAAACGGCGCAATAGAAGAAAAAAATGACGATGCGATTTACGAAAACATCAATAGCGGGACTTAAAAAAACCGATGGCACGACTTAAAAAAAGACTTGAGCAGAGCGACTTAAAAAAATACCCTATCGAAAATAATTAATAGTACGACTTAGGAAAAAACTTCAACGGCGCGGCATAAAAAAAGAGTGACGGCGCGACTTAAAAAAGACAAACGGGGCTTGATATACAATAAGGTTTAACGGTGCGCCGTGGAATGGGTATTTGTCATCTAATTTTATATGACCTTGGTATCTTTCAATTTCCGCTTGATGTGCAGAGTCGGGAAAAACTTGAAAAATTACTAATTTTCGACTTGTGCCTTTATTTGTGGTTAATTTTAGTCAATTAAGTTCGTTTTCACAATCTTCAGGGCTAAGATGTAAAAGTTTTTCTATATTACTTTGATAGAAAGATTCGTGATCAAGTCTATTTTTGTTTCCATTTGAGAACAATGTAATGTTTTCTCTGAGAATGTTGCTGTAAATTTGTATTCTGTTACTGTTGTAGCTCTAGCTTTTGAATAAAGTGTCGCTACTATATTTCTTGTTTCTATTTCTTGTGGTTCAGATTCGCATTGAGTTACTTGATTTATGGCGTATTTATGTAGTGTTTTTTGTTCATTTTCTTCAAAATCATAGTGTGTGACTAATAAATCTCGGGGTCCTGTTCGAGATGAAAGGTTTTTATGATTTGTTGTTTCTGAAAAAAGGGGGTAGGGTTTGCAAGAGAAAAAATATTTAACAAAACATGTGTAGGATAATCCTGAACAGGGATTATACAATGTAATGTGTCCAAGTGTCTTTTTTGTATATCTATCGTATTTATAGATAATTTCTGCTGGGATGAATGGAGAAGGTAATGATTGAGCTGTTATTTTTTGTGGAGCTAAGGGGAGAAGGTGATGTACTAGATTGTTTAATTTTACTGTTATTTCAAATTTAAGTGTTAAATTGTCTTGTGTTAGGATTTTTATATTGTGTTCCTGTATGTGTTTATGAATGTCATGTCTATATTGTAATCTGTTGAGTGCCCAGTTATGTAGCCTGTTACTGTCGAGTTGTTGACCAAATAGTGGAAGAGGTGCTATGAATGTATTCCAATCTAATCGAAGGGGTGTATTATTGGTTAAATGTTCCTTATATATATCGTCTAAGGAAAATCTGGGTAAAATGATGTTGTTGCTATCTGACTTACTGAAGGGGTTGAAGAAAGTGAGAGGGTTTCTGGTAGTGAAAAAGATGTTTCTGATGAGATATCTATTGGTTCATTTATCAAGTTTGGTTCACCTTGAGTGAAAGCATGTGTCATCCAATGTGGGAGATGTTGTGTTGAAGTTGGGGGTTAAGGGGATTTTCTTGAATTTGTTCGGATGTGGGGGCTGATCCTAAGTAGTCCGATGGTATGTTTGGAGTGTTTTGTTGTGAGCTAGATTGTAATGGTAGGGGGTACTTTGGATTGTAGTGCTGGAAAAATATGAAGGGTTTTGAGTTGGTGTTGAGGGTATGTTAAAATGAACTCTGGGAGTTGTAAAATTTCTATTTCGTCTTGGATGTATGATTTGTCTATTTATTGTGGATGTATTTTGGTTTTGACTTGGGTGTCTTGTTCTAATAAAGTCTTGTTGAAGGAAAGGGTATATATTATATGTTGGTGCGTATTGTGGTTCGATTAGGGATGCGTAGCGAACTACAGGTTCTAAAGGTTCTGATAATAGTGAATGTTCTTCTTCAAATGTATATGGATTTTCTTGAAAAAAAGTACGTGTTGATGATTGAGGGTGGTTTGTCTGACTAGATGTTGGTGTTGTTGGAGATTCCTGGGATGTTGTAGTCGGCGGGGACTGTTGTGTGGGTTGTTGATTAGCAATTTATATGTTTATTTGTTTTTGTTGCTTTATACGTTTCTTTATATGTTTTACCTATGAAGAAAATTTATGTTGGTTACAATATTCTTCTATGAAAAGGATTAGGAGTATTGTTGCTAGTGCAAAGATTATTGTTGCCTATTATACATTTTC